AAGAAATTTTGGTGGGCTAGACAGATGCTTTCTGCTTTGGAAGACCTGTTTCAGTTATTCCTCATGATCTGAGCTTTGATCCTGATAAGGCCAATTTTTGAAGTTGGAGGTAGAGAGAATTCTGTCTTCTGACCCCCCTGGATGGAAAACTCTGGGATTTTTTTAATGGTAGGGTACAGAATCTTAGCTGGCTGGAAAGAAGAATAATTTATCTATGGCTGTTGGCTGCAGTATCTAACTCATCTGTGCTTATCAGCACCAGCTCACAGGAGCCCCTGAAGGAAATGGATCTGGGTCTTAGAAGCAAGTACAGCTTTTAAGACTGGCCCATCTTCTATGATATTGTTCCAAGAAGGTCCCACTGCCCTTTAGAGTTCTTCTCTGTCAGCTCATGGAGGCCTTTGACTCTGCATTTGACAAATAAGCACACAGGAAAAGGATCACAGTAATGTGCAATTAATTCGGAAGGAAAGACTTGTGTTAGCTGGCTAAGTTTTCAAAGAGGAGGGCCTTGAATGTCTGGAGGTGGGGGTATTATATTGGGGAACTGTTACAACAGAGTATTGATAATGGGTCTCAAAGGGAAGGTTTGGTCTTCTAAAGGCAAATTTCTTAAATACCAAACTTTAATGCTAAATTAACACAATCACCATCCTTCTTATGTCCTGTCATCAGTGTTACTGTCTTTACATATCCAGGCAGATGACTCTCTGCAAGGCTGAGGGAAAAGAGTATATAGACATCAGGCCTCTCTTTTCCCATTCATTTAAGCCCCATCTTTCTTGCCTCAATCCAGCTAGACATATACATCACCTTACTTACAGTATACTGAGTCTAAGCACAATCGCAGAGAGTTTTTGCAGATTTGGGCCCCAGGATCATAAAGAACCCCATGAATATCTACTTTTAAATAAGCAACTTTGCCTTGAGGCATAGGCAGGGTAAGGGGCTTATCTAGCCTCATTCAGAACATTGAGTGGTTACTTAAATTGTAAAAGGCGAAAGATTTATACGATCTGAAGAGAAACCAGAGTATGAGTGGTTACTTAAATTGTAAACCTGGCAACTGATCCTGGGGAATTCACAATTTGGTAAAGCCTAACTAAGGCCAAACCTTAACTTTAACTCATTTATGAAACAAATTGATGGAATGTGTATAACATAACAGGCACTGTGCATAGCACTGAGAATATAAGAATGAACAGGGCATGAGCTCTGATCTCAAGGATATTGTAGACAAATAGGAAGACAATTATGAAACAGGAGGCTAAGTACAGTGGTAGAGAGAAGCATAGGGTTCTGAGGCCTCAGGTTCAGAGCTGATCACCCAGGGCGGGCTAAGGTGGAAGTCTTGGAGCACAACAATATTTGAGGTTTGAGCAGGGCAAGAGAATCTGGAATAGACCAAGGATGAATGGCCAGCAAGGGAGTAAGACTAAGAGACAATGAGAGAATGGTTTCAAGAAATCAGAAGAGGAGAGAGACATTTGAGGAAGGAGTAGGCAATAATGTCAAATGGAACAGAGATCAATTAAGAAAATAACAGATGAGTATCAATTGAATTTGGAATTATGAAGATCATTGGTGACTTCAGGGAGAACGTGGTTATTGGAATTGTGAGGGATGAAGCCAATTAACATTAAATTGAGGTATTAATGAGAAATCAGAGTGTTTAAATGGTGAGCGTGAACTATCATTTCAAAGACAGGGGAAGGAAGGAAGGAAAGCAAGAGGATGCCAGCTAGAAGGGGTTGCTGGTTAAGAAGAGTTTTCGATTTTGTTTAATGTGAAAAAGCCTTGAGCATGTCACTATGCTGTGGAAAAAGAGTCAGCAGGAGGGAATGAGGTTGCAGATGAGAGGGAGGGGATGCCTTATACAACAATGTCCCTGAGAACAGAGGGGGCAATAGGAGCCAAGTGGATGAGTTGGCCTTGGACAGGAGGAGTGATAGTTTTCTCTTTGAGACTGGAGAAAAGGAGTCAACTGTGGGAGTGGTTGCTACATAGGAAGTCTCCCTTGATGACCTTGATTTTTCTCAGTGAAGCAAGAGGCTTGAGCATCTGTAGTCTGTGAAGGGAGAGGTGGCAGAGTAAAATTTAGGACAGTCAGGTGTCTGCCTGAAACCATGGTGTCCAGGAGAGAATATAGGGAAAAACAAAGGTTACTACTACTACTACTACTACTACTACTACTACTACTACTACTACATGTTTGGAAATTCAAAAACCCTAATAGTTTGGTATTTTTAGGCTAGTGTGTAGACAGATGCACCACTGCCAAGCAAAGCTCAGCAGTTTCTTTAGCTCCAGGTCCCTACTGGGTTATTGAGGTCAATCAAATTCATGTTTGGAGCCTTCCCACTTTCCTCTGTAAACAGCTCTACACACACTGCAGGTCCCCAAACTTTGAAATATATCTGCTGATTATAATGATGGGGAAGAGGAAGAACAGTTAACATTCATTGAGTGTTTTCTAAGTGTCAGACACTGCACATGGATCAGAGTTAGCTAAGTAAGTTAATCCATGGAAACTGTGTGTGTGTGTGTGTACACATATGTGTTACACACATCATACAGATGACATATATAATAACCTATGTACTCCACACTGTGCCTGACACTTAGCGGGGACTCTGGTTGTCCTTTTTTTCCCCATCTTCTCATCCTTCATCATTAGTCCTCAATACCTGCCACCCCCACCCAGGGCTGGGGTAGGAGAGAGGTGAATACAGAAGTTTTCATTTCCTTGAGGACAGGGGCCATGATGTACCTTGTTTGAAGCCCCATAAGCACTGGTATGGTAGTGGACATGTGGCAGGCTCTAAATTAGCTCTTGAGGCAGGTGTTGGAGCCACGACTGGCAGGTTCTCATGAGTACATAAAGAGCAGCCATACAGTAACAGCCCTTTCAGCAGTGCCCAGCTGGGGATGGGACACCAGGCCTGGAGGCTGAGGACCTACATTCCAGGAGCAGCTCTGCCACCCACCAGCCCGGTGACTACAAATCTCTGCTTGCCTGGGTCTCAGGGTCTTCACCTGTGAAGCAGAGGTTATAATCCTTTCTCTTCCCACTTGATAGAGGTTCTGTAAGGATCCAGTTTGGTTGACAGTCATGAAAGCTCTTTGCAAGTAAAAAGTGTACAGATGTGAAGGGATGTTAGCTCCCAGGGCCAGGGCTTGACTAAGAAGGAGAGAGAAAGGGAGAGTCCCTGTGTAACCTGGACATATGGGGGTTTTAATTTGTTTTCCTCCTGTTTAACTAACATCCGTGATTCAAGCTGGTACAGCATTAGAACACTCTGTCCTTTGAGATCCTCAGGGACGAGAGAATTTGTAAAGCAGTGAGGCAGCAACCAGCTCATGGCATAGTGAAAAATAGATGAAATATGGCAGGGTTCATACCTGTGCTTTTTCAAACATTGCCTGACTAACAGCAGTCAGGTGAAAGGCAGGTGGCGTGTCCTCTGTTTGCTTCCCTAGAAAATCTTCTTCCTGTTACCCCTACCTGCTCTGGCAGTGTAGTCAGATTCCACAGCTCTGTCCTGAACCCTCCTCCTTTCCTTTATCTTCCCTTCCTCCCTTGCATAACACCATCCATTCTCTTGGCCATGAGAACCAACTCCAAAATCTGTGCCAGATCTGTGCCAAATCAGCCCAGAGCCCTGACCCAAGTCCTAGATCTGAAGCCATGTGGATGTCCTACAGGTGCCCCAGATTTACCCTCTCCAAAATCTAACTTCCCACTTTGAACTGGTTGCTTCTCCTTCATCTTGAGCTATGCAGAAGAGATCATCTCAGAGGCAAAAAGGGAGATGGTTTGGAGGTGAGGACATGGTCCATGCACCGTTTCTTATGCAATTGAGCAGAAAGGAGTAGGGGTGAAGGCTAGGGAGCTGGAGGGAATACAGATGAAGCCTTGTGTTAACTGTCTCCTTATTTTCATGACCATTAATCTCAGCTGGGCCCTTGGTGTTGACTGCCACTCCCTTTCCTTGGTCCATTCATCCACTCTCTCACTATACTTTTCCCTCTCCCTCAAACCCCCAACACCTCCTCCCTCATGTCCCGTAACAACTGCTGACCTTCTGAAGCAATCAGAATAGAAGTCCCACAGATTCCCACATCTACCCTCCTACTGCAAGTATACCCATATTCTTTCTCTTCTCTCCTGTTACTATGAAAGAACCATCTCTGCTCCTATCTAAGGCCAACTCCTCCCTGTGGGTACTACATCCCAACACCTCTAGGTTGCTCAAGGCTATAACTTTAGCAGTTCTCCCCTTGATCTCCTGCATTGGTGATTTTCACTCTTTAGTGGTTCATTCCTACTGCTATATAGACATACTATTACTGCTAACATCTTAAAAAAAACAAAAAACAAAAAAAACCTCCTCTTAACTCCACCTGTCCTGTATCTGTGGCCTCAGTTCTCAGCTCACTTTCTTAGCAAAACTCCTCAAAAAATTTGTCTCTACTTGCAGGGCGCCTGGGTGACTCAGTTGGTTAAGCATCTGACTCTTGATTTTGGCTCAGGTCATGATCTTAGGGTCATAGGATTGAGCCCCGTTTGGGGCTCCATGCTCAGTGGGGAGTCTGCTTGGGATTCTCTCTCTCCCTCTCACGCTGTCCCTCTCCCTGCTTGTGCTCTCTCTTTTGCTCACTCTCTAGAACAAATAAATAAATCTTTAAAAAAATTTTTCTCTACTTGTTGTCCCCAGTTGTCTTTTGTGCTCACTCCAATCAGGTTTTTTCCTCCATCACTCCACCAAAATCATTCTTTGTGAAAGTCACCAATGACCTCCATTTTGTTAGTTAAGTGATCAGTTCTTATTCCTTATCTTACTAGCCTTATCAGCAGCAATTAATACAACTAATATGCTTCCTAAAATACTTCCTTCACTTGGTTTCCAGGACTTGGCCCTCTTCTGGTTCTCTTACCTTACTGCTGCTCCTTCTCAATTTCCTTTGCTGATTCCTGTGTCCTCTTTTTTTTTTTTCAGCTGTGTCACTCGAGGTTAAAAGGGCTGCGGGCAGGGGAACCAGGCGGCCCCAGTTATGCGCAAGCGCCTACTCTGGTGCTGCAGCCTGATCCCCTGGTGCCTCGCACAGGTGCAGCGGGGGCTCAAAGGCAGCGCTCGTCCTCTCTGTGTCCTCTGATCTCTGTGATCCCTGGGGTTCCATCTCACTACCTTTTTTTTGTTGTTGTTGTTATCTGTACTTATTCCCTCAGTGATCTCATTCACTCTTTGGCTTTAAATAGCTTTTTTTTTTTTTGGAGAGAGAGCGAGAGAATGCAAGCCTTGGGCACGGAGGGACAGAAGGAGAGTGAAAGAGAGAATCTCAAGCAGACTCCCCACTGAGCAGGGTGCCTGATGCAGGGCTCGAGACTGGGCTCCATCTCATGACCCTGAGATCATGACCTGAACCAAAATCAAGAGTCGGATATTTGACTGAGCCACCAAGGTGCCCTTCCTGGCTTTAAATACTAACTGTACAATGATAACCCCCCAATTTGATATCCCCAGCATGGACTTCTTCTCTAACTTGTAGACTCCTACTTCCAAAATGGAATTCCTGATCTTCACCTCCAAACTTGCTTGTCCTATATTCTTTCCCATCTCAGGAAATGGCAATTCTGTCCTTGAATTTCCTCTCTCTCTCACTCTCTCTTAATATTTCTCCCCCTGTCCATCGAATTCATAAGGAAATCATGTTGGTATTACCTTCAAAATGTATCTAGAATTCAACCAATTCTCACCATTTCTATCACCATAACCCTGGTCCAGGCAACATGATTTCACATCCAAATCATTACAGTAGCTTCTTCTAACTAGACTCCCTGTTTCTGCTTTATACCCCTGTATTATATTTTCCACACAGAACCATGAGTGGACCTTTCAAAACACGAGTCATGTAACTCCTCCATTCAAAGCCCTCCAATGACTCCTATTTCACTTAGAAGAAAAACGAAGTCCTTACAATGGCCTGCAAGATCCTATCTAATCTGGCATGGATCCCCATCCTTTACTTACTCTGACCTCATCTCCAATCACTCTCCGCTTTTGCTTACTTTGCTCTATCACACTAGTCTCCTGGCTCTTTCTAGAACATGCTAGTCATATTCTTGCTGAAGGGCCTTTTTCCTTGCTGTTATCTCTTCCTGGAAGGATTTTTCTCCCATGTATACACAAAGCTTGCTCTCTCAGCGAATGAAAAGAATGAAAACAATGAATGAATGATAAACAACCCCTTGAAACCCTCACAACACCTAAGCCCAATAAGGCCATTCCTCTGTGTCTTTCTATATACTCTCTTTGAGAAGTTTCAACTCTTACCTAGTTCTAGCTGGCTACTGGCAGAGCAACTGCAGCTGGTTCTGGAGGAAGTAAGGGGGCTGTAATCTAGCTGGTGCTCTGCTCATCAAGCCCTGCACCAGGCTACACCATGCAGACTAGATAAAGGGGTGGTACTTTTTTCTCCAGGAATGCGCTAGCTGTCTGTTCTCTGATCAAGTCTTATGCTCGGGGCTATCTACCTGGAGAAAGCATCTTGTTAACTATTGACACAAAAACTCCACAAAAAGGCTAGCTATACCTCTGCCTCCTGGGCCTCACTGCCTGAATGTTCTACTGGAAACTCAAACACAACATGTCAAAAATGAACTCATCATCTTCTCCATCTCCACTGTGAATCTACTCCTATTCTTGACTTCCAAATGTCCTTTAATAAAATCATCATTTTCCCAGTCATTCAAGCTCCAAACTTTAGACATCTTTTTCCCACTACCTTCTGTCACTTTTAGGCAGATTTTCAGGTTCTGTCAGTTCCATCTCCATGCCATTTCTTTTCTCTGGAATCCTAGAGCCTCATTGTATCCACTTGACTATAACCATGACCTAAGTAATTCTGAGAGCTGCTTAGGAAATTGCCTCAGCAAATTGCTGTGGAAGTTGTGGGCTGCAGATGGGTAATTGTCCATTTAAACTACAAAGCTGGCTTAAGTAGAAAACCTATGAAAAGATTAGAGAAGAGCACCTCCTTTTCATACTCCAGATCTGGATAGGAATGGGTAATGCAGAGTAAATTATAGACTTCTCCAGAGTACTGAGATTCGAATCAGTAGCTCGATTCCTATTTTATAAAAAAACTCAGTAAGGCACACACAACTTTTGTGAACTTTTGTTTCCTCATCTGTCAAAAGGAGGTAATTCAACAAGATGAACTCTCAGCTTCCTCTTGCTCTGACAGCGCAAGTTTCCAAGCCTTTTGCTCAAACACACACTTCACATCAGGGAAAAAGAAGAGAGGGGAGCTAGCACTTATTAAGTACCTCCCATGTACCAAACTCATTATACCCATTATGCAACTTAATACTCATGACAACTCTGTGAGAAAGGGATGCCTGTTTTACAGCTGAAGAAGCTGAGGTTCAACCAAGTTAAATAAAAAATGTAGGGCCACACGCTTAATAGGACTGGGCTTGATCCCAGGTCCCTTTGCCTTGAAAGGCTGTCTCCCAGATCAAGATGTAGAACTTTCCCCTGTGATTTTTCACTTAGGTGCCTTTCTTTAGTCCTAAAGTACAAAATAATTCATTTTCAAACTAAGGGCACTGAACCAATCATCTAAGCATTATATGTAATAATTTGAACACTAGAGCTCACTTTTCTCTTCCTCTTATTGTCCAACTCACTTCAAGCCACATATTGCAGTAATCCTGAAGCATGGTGTTCCCTCCAGGGAAAAACATAATTGTGCATAGCTTTGTGCCATGAGCAGGATTAATTATGGAGAAGGATAATTAGAATGCTAGGTAAGACCATTTATAACATCATTCAAATCGAAGTATTGGCAGCATGCTTGGAGAGGACTCATTCCCTTCCCTCTTCTACTATAATCAAGTGCCTTTTCTCTGACCCCTGGAATAATTCTGTTGGGAAAGCCTACCTTTAGGTGAGAAAGTTTAATCATATCCATTAGGGTCACATCTACCAGTTGGAAGGTAAAAGAATCAACCTGTTTATTGAGCACTTGGAATCTCCTCAGGTGCCTTAACTGGTTTGGATGATTTTTAAAAAATTACCAGTGATGAATTAAAGCTATTCCCTCCCATCATATGAGGAAAGAACTCTCTCTCTCTCTTTCTTTCTTTTAGTGTTCAATGATTCATTAGGTAAAGCTATTTCTATAATACTGCAGAACTATGAAACATTAACTAGTTTAGTCACATATCTGGAGTTCTGGTTTTTCAGTTCTGTTGATAACAAATAACTGTTTTGATTGATATATTCAGGAGTCAAATATTTTAAGACAGTACTCGTTATTAATGCCTTTGCTCAGATTAGTTTTTATGACAGTGGCATTACCCAGCAAAATTCCTAGGGAGGGAGACAAAGGACAGGTAAATTTTGATGAGATGAGGAGAGGTTATGGAGTTTGGGCATTGGTTCCAATTGCTAATAACTGAATTAGCCTATTATTTCATTCTTTTTTTCTGGCTTTCTAGGACTAGGTCCTTCTTATCTAGATAGTTAGCAGATAAGCCTGTACCATTCCCTGAAGGGGAAATGGGTTGGCAATTAGGAGGTGGCATGATGATGACTGGTGCTTAGAAGTGCCTTCTGTTTGGAGAAAAGAGGATACACCTGAAGAGAAGGAGGCTCTTTTGAGTCTTAACCCAGAGAAGTAATGCGAAATGCCACCTTTTACTGTATCACTGGCTGTAAAGAAGGAGTATTTGAAGGCTGGTGGACTTTTTTTTAAAGGCCCTTCAGTAACACAGAAGTAACTGATGTATAGGCCAGCTGTGCCTATTAGCGATCATAGCCCCTCAGGGGTAAAAACCACAGTCAGGAATCAATGAGGCACCCGCTCTAATCCGTGGAAGTGCTGTGAAAGATTCGGTCCTAAAGAGAGCAAAAAATGGAAGGGAACAACAGTAGTCCACATCAGTTAGGGTTTGCAGGAAAGAGATAAGAACAGCACAATGAGAACTAAGTTGATACTCTCTGATGAGATTAAGGAGAACAAGGAGGGCTTTTGGAGACAAAAGGATATGGCGGGAGAATTGAATGATTCATATATAAGACAGCATGAGATTAGCAATGACTCAGAAATGGCAGAAAGCCTGAGCTGTTTTGAGATCAATCTTTTGAAAGGAGCAAGATAAAAAAATATATATATATTCTTGACAGTTTGAACATGTTGAAGGGTTGGCAGGAATTGGTATAGACCAAATTTCCCCCAAGCCAAGTGCTTAATTTATTCTGGTTGTTCTGTGATATACTCATCCATACAATTAATTGCTGTTGTCTGTGCTTTCTAGATGTTTGCATATAGCATTACTCTGTTTCATTCATTTTATTTAATAAAAACCCTATGTACCTAGAACTGAGGTAGAAGTTAGGAACACTGAAAAAATAGAATTGAAGACATACATGTTTCTTGCCCTTGAGGAGTTTATGATACTGATTTGGAGACAAGATTTTCGATCATTATACAATTTAAAAATCATGGTGACACAGAAATTTTCTTGAAAAAATTAAAGAAACTCAAAAATTCATGACTTAAATCGTCATTTTGGTATGTTGGCCCTGAATGAGCACATAAGGAAATGGACTGAGTTGTAAATTTAGAAGCAAAGGGGTCATTGGGAGTTGGAATTCATCTGGGAAGTAGATCCTCAGCTAGGACTGCATGGATGGGCATGGAGGAGGGGGAAAGCAATAGGCATAGATGCAGAGGCAGGGATGGCAAAAGGTGTACTTGGTAGCAGTGAATAGAAAGTTTTGAGTGGAATATAGGTTTCATGTTAGGGAAGTAAGTGAAGCCTCTCGAATGTCAACCTGAATGTACTGATTTTAATTCTATAGGACTTTTGAGTAGAAGAATGGCATAATCACTTTTATTGGTCACTTAACAGTATAGCACGTCCATTTCACACACCATGGGGCCTTTGAAAAGACTACATTTTCAGCTGAAACAAATAAGAATAAGGTGTTTAAGGCTGTTTTCCAGATTTCTGTCTTCCAGGGTCAATGTGGCCATTTAGAGCCAAAAATTAATATTCACAGTTGAAGGCATTAAGTGTGACACTCTCCCTGACCTAAGTGTGCCACCTTAACATTTCTACACT